AAGGTACCCTTTCCTGAAATCGAGGTCTGCCGTGTTCAAGAAGTTTGAAGGTCAGGGATTGGATGACGAGTTGTGGGATAACAGCAGGAAACACGTTTCCGACTCGGCGTTGTTCAAGGACTGCCCGCCGTACATGGATTGCGACCAGGACAACTCGATTGAGGTGACGGAGAAGTTGGCGGGCCACAAGAAGTTGTCCGTCGACTGGAGAAACCAGGTTCTCTCCGTGTTGAATGGAAGCAGACTGAAGAGCCGGGGAAGTCGCACTTGCCGAAGGCGTCGTTCACATTAAATGGAAAGACACGGGGGACGTGACATCCATCGCGCCGTTCGCCAACGACCCTTTAGAGGCGGACATCAGGGGCGCATAGGTGAAGGAGGAAGTGGCTGCCACAAAGAGCCACACGTTCGTCCTAGATCTGTGCGAGCCGGTTGACCTCAAACTGTGGAAGCCCCAAGCGTGGGAGACTTTGAATTCTTATCTTCAGATGTGGTGTCCCTCGCATTGGACTCTCGTTGTTTTCGTGCCGCGGCAGCACAACCTGTCGTTTCTCGCAAGCATGCACCATCTTTCTTTCGTCAAGCTGTTGGAAGGGAAGTGGGTGCGGAAAGTGCAGCAAAAAAAAAGCTTCCCCGTTGGGAACAATTTGTACACGGAGRAARACCGCATGTACATCCTCTTCAAGGGTGACGATCTGCGCGTCAACACGTCCGTGGTCTACGAGGGAAACCTGCCCACGGGTGCCGCTGCTGCGGTGCGATTGCCTCAGAGGGTCACCCAGACGGATGTGTCCGAGATTCCTTTTCACGCCTTGCGACTGGTCGCTGGTGGCGCCTGAACGACAGGGCAGCGTCCACGGGGATATGGAACGCAATCCGACCCAATTCGTCGGTCTTCTTGATTTTCTTGGCAAGAAGGGAGAGGGTGTTGTGTTCCTTGGGAAACCGCACGCGCGAAGCGTGTGGGAGCTTCTGAAGGCCGGCCGACACGTTGTTGCAATGGAAGGGAACTCCGACCTCTTGCAATTCACGATGCAGGTGGTGAAAAGCGTGGTCAATTCGAGTGGGCACAATTGTGAGTTCATGGTCGTGAGGCCAACACGGGATAAGGTGTGGAGCAAGAAGACGGATACGTGGTTCAAGTTGAGCGAGAGGAAGAGGAACAAGATATACGATTTATTGTTCCTTCAAACACGTTCGAGGAGGGACACTGACGCCGAGTACATCCGCCGGAAGGACCACATGTTGGCACTGCTCGACAACTACCACTTCGCCTCCCGCATGAACGCGAAAACGTTTATCGAAAGGCTGCAGTCGCTGTACTTCGTGGAGTCCGAGGAGCAGTTGAAGTTAGCCAGTTACGCTTCCCTGATCTCCACTGATGACGAGGAAGCCATAGGTGTGGAGTTTGTCACCAACGCGAAGGAGGAGGAGAGCGACACAGAGAGCATCGACCTGCAGTACGACCCGCCTCCGGCGGACCACGGCCGAGGGTCCTCATCGGCCGGTCTGTCCCCAAGCGCTGCAGCCCTCATGTCACCATTGGCAAAACCGGCACCGGGCACCACGCCGATGAAGTTGCTGGAGAGACTTAGAGCTCTGGCCGCCCCCCCGCCCGCTTTGCGTCCCGGGTCCGTTGTCCCGCCCGATCATCCGTCTTGGAAGGATGACAACATCCACTTCCTGCTTGAACCGCAACGTCATTCACCTGAGCGGGACAGGGGCCATGACATGGTTTGGCATCCGGGAGTCATCCAGCCAGCGATACGAAATGGCGAGTGGGTCATGGCCGTGGCAATCCCGGGCGCGGGATGGGTGTCATTCCCACGCGAGTCGAAGTCCAACTTCCTGCACCTCGCGAGGATTTCGGTCCTCCAGAAAGTGAAGGTCGAAAATGACACTTTAGCACCCGGCAACCTGTCCCTCATTTCCACTGCCGGTCGACTGTTTGACGAGCTTCAGGACAAGTGCTGGTTGGAATTGACGGAGGACTACTACGAGCTCGACACGAGTCCGTCGAAGGGCGTGGTGGAGTGGAAAGTGCCCCCTCCCAATGGGCCGGACGGTGGTTCCGGGGGGGGGTCACCTGGAAGCGGAGGGGATGGTGGCGACGCAGGGGGTGGCAAAGGAATCCCACCTGTGGGGGAGAGAGGGTCTCACGGCCGCAACACGACACCGGGAGGCAGCGCTTGGGTGGCGGGTTTCGCCGTTGACCGGACTCCGTTGACAGGCACCCGGCCTGAGCACACGACACACTCCGCCGACCCCTAGACTTCGTCCGTGGGCTCAGCGAGGGACACGTTGGCAGCCTTGGTTGCTCTGGGCATTCGCTCGGTCGGAAAGCCGAAGTCCGCCGGGATCCGAACTACGTCGGGTGAGGAGCCGCCAGAGCGGTCCGGAATGCGAAGCTGCTCGGGGTCGGGGGATCCAAGCACGGATCGAGAAATTCGCAGCATTGCGGCGTGGGACGGAGACGTCGGAACGGTGTCGCCTGCGCGGGAGCGACGGCCGCAAGGATTGCAGCGGGAGGCTGCAAGTGCAGGGTCCGGCGACACGGAGACCACGAAGTCCGCTGAGATCCGAACTTCGTCGGGCGGGGGGTGTCGGCCAGGGATTGTCGTGCCGTTGAGAGGGGCAGCGTGCACGGGGACGGAAGGGCGGTCCTCGCGATTCGGCACGGGTACCGTGGAAGGGGACGAGTTTCATGGGAGGGAAGTAGGGGAGGAAACGGAGGAAAAGAAGGGAGCGCAAGAAGGGGAGGAAGAAGGGGAAGGAGAGGTGGAAGGGGAGGAAGCGGGAGAAACGAAGCTAATTGATTTGTTTGAAGGAAGGGAGGGTGCCGGGTCTGGAGAGGACGAACTGGAACACAGTGAAGACGATGCCGGATCTGGAAAGTCGTCTGACGAGTTCGGACAACTGTACGGAGAGCATCACGAGGATGATGTCGACGACGATGCCACGGCAATAGAGATGGAGACACAAGTGGTCAGCAGCCTTTCCCCAGAGCCTGAAGATTATGAGGTCCGGCCACTGACATCTACTGTCGACTTGCAGCACCGGTTCAACGAGGCTTTCGTCGCTATCAGCCCGTTTGAAAAAAGTCGACGTATAAGCATCGACGAAGTTATCGACGGTATCCTCAGCGACCACAACGTGTCTTCCCGTCCGTCCGCAACTGCCAACGTTGCACCTTCCGTGGAAGCTGCCCTCGCTTCGTCGCCGCCGAAGTCCCTGGTGCTGCAGGCCACCCTTGCCGCCAAAGGGGAAGGCGAGTGTGATGGAGGACAGCATTTGACGTCCCCAAAAAAGTCGAGGTTCGGCGGTCAGGCTCTCGACGTGCTCGCTTTGCCTGCGCCAAATTCACCATCGAAGGAGCGGAGAGAGAAACAGACTGGTAAGCCTTGAAGAACGCCTGCGTATCCGGATGTCGTCGGATTACAGTCCGCGCTATACACACGACGACTGTCCACACTGTCTGTGCATACGGGAAGTTCCGGGTGCCTGCATGCTACAGCCAGAAGCCCTTCCTACTCCAGCTCGTCGGCCTGTCTGTGACTCGGCCGGGTTGCTAGTCGAGGGCGGCGAAAACTTCATCCAAAACCTTACACTCCATCCAAGGAAGGATCTTACCCGGCTGAGGAAATGGCCAAGGTGCTAAGAAAGTGGCTAAGTACATGGACTGACAGTTTTCCCTTCTCGGGAGTAGTGTCGATTTTAGTCCGCCGGGATCCAAACTTCCTTTGTCGATGCGTGATGTGGTCAGTCTCTGTGGGGCTGGTGTGTTCAAAAGTCCGCCGCAGTCCGAACTTCCGGGATTGCTGGCCTCCGGCTTCTGTGAGTTGTGGTGGTTTTCCTTTGCGAAGTGCGGGGGGTCATAAGCTTGAATGTTGCAGTCGTTTTGTTTTCCAGTCGCACAACCGTACCTAGGTGCACACGACCACGCGAGATCAGGGTCCTGTGGTCAGAGAGGTCCTGCTTGACTGTAGGCCAAGGTGCTAAGAAAGTGGCCAAGTACATGGACTGACAGTTTTCCCTTCTCGGGAATAGTGCCGGTTTTAGTCCGCCGGGATCCGAACTTCCTTTGTCGATGTGTGATGTGGTCAGTCTCAGTGGGGCTGGTGTGTTCAAAAGTCCGCCGCAGTCCGAACTTCGCGGATTGCTGGCCTCCGGCTTCTGTGAGTTGTGGTGGTTTTCCTTTGCGAAGTGCGGGGGTGATAAGCTCGGATGTTGCAGTCATTTTGTTTTCCAGTTGCACAACCGCACCTGGGTGCACATGACCACGCGAGATCAGGGTCCTGTGGTCGGAAAGGTCCTGCTTGACTATTGCGTCTGTACGAATGTATGGTTCTCATTTTTCGTTTTGTCTTTCTTCTGTTGTACAGGGGTGGTGTCGTCTCGAACACGGAGGTCCTCCAAATATCCAGAGCACATATTGCAGAAAGTCCCCGAGTTGAGTTAAAAACACAAGGATATGTTAAAGGCATCAGGGGTTGATGTCAAGATCGGGAAGAAGGAGTACACCGTTGCCATTGAGGAATGTCTTTCCCTTCTTGCCCCAGACAAAGGGACATATCCACGATCTGTGAGTAGGGGTCAGGCCATGTATGAGAAGTACTTAGCAACGCGTCATGCACCGGGGGACAATGTCTAGAACTCCATTTCTCACTACACCACGTGTCTTTTGCTCGATGTTGTGCAGTGCGGGCAACAAGTGCAGCACGCGGGAAAAGTTTCGCTGCGACGATTGCGTCTCTGAGCTTGCGGGTTTTCGATGACATTGTACAAGGCTCGGTGCCGTCTAACACTATTCTCTCTATACTGGGCAATGGTCAATTTCGGATTGCAGCAAAAGATCTCCTCACCCGCATGCATGTCAACGGCAGGGTGAATGATGAGGTGGTCAATTTCTATATGGCGTTGTTGGGGTCGACCGCATGTGGGTCACGTGACATCTCTTCAGGCCCTCAAGTCTTCAGCTTTAATTCGTTCTTCTTCAGTAAACTGCGACTTCAAGGACACGGTGGGGTGCAAAGGTGGGCTAAATACGTAGATTTGCTTCGTTACGATATTATTTTCGTTCCTGTCCACAAAGATGATGATCACTGGATCCTCGTTTCCGTCAACATGAGAGATGATGTTCTCGAAATTTTTGATTATTTTCCTCGCATTGTAGCTGATTCTAGTTTTTCCCTTAGTGTTTTCGGGTTGATTGTGCAGTATTTGGAACGTCAAACATCACATAGGCAGTCGGGTAGGAATTGAAAGTTCATGGTGGGAAATGTTGTGGTGGATGGAGTTCCGAGACAAGTGGATGGAGCAAGCTGTGGTGTGTTCATGTTAATGTATGCGACGTTGTTGCAACATGGAGATCGACCGCCTTTCCGGTTCTCTTGTAAAGATATTCCGCTTCTTAGACGACAATTAGCATCATGTGTCTTAGAACATCATTGTCTTTGATGAATTTGATTGACTTCGGAACTTTTTTTTAAGGTGTTCCATTCGTTGATCGTTAAATTTCGTAAATCGAGACATTATTCAACTGTCCTTCTGCCAGAGGCATTGCTTTCTTTTATCGTTCCGAGTTTGCATTATCTACGGTAAGCTCAATGCATGTCCTGCGTCATGTATGAGTTTTGTAATCTATACCACGTAATGTTCCATGTTCCGAATTCTGTTCAAGTTGAAGTATTGTGTTCCATGTTTCGAATTCTGTTCAACTGGAAGTGTAAACATGATTGTGAAACTGGTTGGTGGATGAATGAGAAATCTCATCTAATATGAAATTGGTCAGTGGATGCCCGAACCTTCTTTGCATAACCATTTGAAATGCGGATATTCATCGCGATGGAGCACAATTTAATCTAAATTAATCTAATTACATTGCTAATTTTGTTTACAAAAGTTCAACAACTATGGATGTCAGCAAACTTTCGCATTTGGGGCGACTAGGCGGGCATGCCCATGTACAAACACTGCAGTCAAAAATGAATTCGTAAGAAAGAGGACAGTGTCACAATATAGTAATTGTGTTTTTCATCACATTTATGAAATTGAAGTTTGACAAGTTAGGATCACAGCACAGTTTCGCACAGGGTTCCGTTTGGCGTGCCAATCGTTGTTTGTTTCACACATGGATCCCAACACACTTCCCCACAGGATCACCAACATGTTTTTGATGTTCAACAAGTAAGGATCCCAACACACTTTCACATTTGGGATTTCATTTATGAAGTTTCACAAGAATGGATCTCAGCACGCTTCTGCATGTGGTGGCGGGTTTTTGATGTTCAACAAGTAAGGATCCCAACCCCTGGATGGGCATGCCTGCGTTGCTTAGGCTGCAACCAAAAATTAATTCGTTGGAAAGAGGACACAGTATAATGTCCTATTTTAACGAATAACGTGTTTTTTGCTACTGCAGCACACTGCGCAAACCGCTGTACCATTGACTGACGAAATTTCTCGACCGTTCGTTCGTTGACCTCCATCACGCTAACAACTTTTGTTATGTATTTTGCGGTTATCTTCGTTCCCTTAGTCGCGTTTGCTAGCTTTCGCATCAATTTAGTTGCCACGCAACAAACGAAAACACCACAGTCCGACGTATTGGTCTGTTGCGAACATTCCACATATACTATGTTAGATCCAGGTAGATCTTTGCATGTCACCCACGACGTGTCCACGGTATCGGGAGTCAACACCCTTGCTTTGTCTGCCTCGTTGAGGTATTCATACCACAAAAATGTGCGCAACGCCTTCCATTCCTGTCGACCGCTCTGTTGAAAGGAATCCATGACGATTGCAACAGGTCGTTTCTGACTATCATTGTCCTCCGTGACTGCAAAACACCGACCGACATTCAGTATCAAGAGCAATTTCCAATGGTTTTTGTGATTCACAGGGATGAGAACCACAGTTGTCGTTCGCAGTTCATTGCCTATTCGACGCAACTTTGCAGGTCTACTCTTGATCCGCTCCTGCCATCCTGCTTTCGCGACATAATCCTTCTGATTGGCGATGACTACGGGATGCCAGAAAGTTGTGCAAACATAAAGTGTCGTGTTGTCTTGTGCAGGGAAATATTCTTCAAAGACGGACTGTAAGTATATATCGATTACGGCGCCGTTCAGCCACTGCATCGCACCCAATCGCAATACGTCCCGTTTCGTTATCGTTATGGCGTGTCTTCTTGATTTCCACATGAACGGGAACAAGTGTTTCTCGTCCACCCTCTCGGGCTTCTTCCCAGCCTCTGCAGCCATACCTCTCGATCAATTGCCCCCTGCAATACTGAACAAAGGTTCATGCACCATCTGAGGATATTGGACGTCATTTGTGGTCATCATCTGGTACATTTCCGCATACCACGGGTCCTCCAGTATCCTCTTCCATCGCTTCACTGATCTCTCACTGCTCAATGGGAGCAACGGTTCGGTGACACTTGGTCCACATGATTGTTCGTCATTCCTTGCTGTTTCTGAACTGTCCATCGCTTTTGAGCCCATGATACAACCCTTGCCATTTACCCCCTCGTTCATTTTCTAAAATTCGCTCATCTGAATACCTCTCATTCTTCGTCATACAACAGATGTCACGGCTGATGGACAAAGGTTGCAGTGTCAGTCTAAATCGCCTTCTCCACAATTCCTGAAAACGCTGATTTTTTCGCTTGCTGTCTTGCCACTTCTTCCAGTGCATAGTGTCGTTCTGGCGTTACCTCGACCTCAACATTTTCTGTCCACATGGCAGTCACATGGTCATGACACACATCTTGTCAATTACTCGACTTTAGTGGTAAGTCTTTCGACAATATGTGAGAGAGAGACAGAGAGAGAGAGAGAGAGAGAGAGAGAGTACTGCGAGGCAGAATGACAGTTTCCTGTGACGTCATGATCTCTTATCGTACACAACTATAGACATAGGTTGGCTAGTGCGTGCCACCAGCCACTTCTTCAGTCCACGTTCACCATACATGTGCACGCAGTAGTCAACTATGAAGTTACCTTCGTCATACACACTGCTTTGATGCACCTTTCTCTACATTGCTGTGTAAGATGACATAGAAGCTATGCAACGGTGTAACACAACCTAGTCTGTGCGAAAAAAAACAGTTTCACAACCGTGTTGTTCCATCTTGCACGATCGTGCCAGTCTGAAATACAGTCTCGCCGCTTTAAAAATCCACCGATATTTGAACTTCATCTTTACAAAATTACTATTGTCGTTCAAACGCTTCTCTCTCTCTCTCTCTCTCTCTCTCTCTCTCTCTCTCTCTCTCTCTCTCTCCCTCTCTCTCTCTCTCTCTTTGTGTAAAAGAAATACAAAAGTTGAGCGCATGCTGTAGTATAAAATTGCGACTGCGCCCACCACAGATTATTCTCGGAAAAACGTTCAGCCTTTGAAATTTTGGTTTTTTTTTTTTTTTTGTAATTTTATATACACTTCTAGAGTATATATCTATTCAACAAAAAATTGTCCTCCCTCTCTTTTG